TATCAGTAGGTCAACAGAGTCACAGAATCAGGAAGAAAACTGACGGCGACACTAGCAAAATGTTGGCATTCTTACATTTCATAAAAGCTGATGTTACATGTTTGTACATATATGTATATTTTATTAAGTCTCAATGCGGTCCCATTGCATTGTGATATTCATTAACAGAAGCTTGATCAACTTTGATTAAAATTTATTTTCGCTAATAAATTTTTTACACTTTAAGTATATCATAATTGTAGGAACTAATTACAAGAGTGTAAGATGAATATTTTCACATGAGTACAATTTAGCTAGATTATGTACTGGAAAAAAATGTTTCTAAAATATCAGTTTGCCAACTGTTTGCAAGTGTTCGCAACTGTCAACACCCATTATAAAATTTCAATCATTTGTAAAAAGACATAGATTGTGTCAGAAATTCTTTAAATTAAGTGATAGATAATAAATTTTGGAAGAATTTCCTTGTAAAACACAATTTGGTCAAAAATAATCCACAAATTGTAGGTTTGATCCTGCTTGTTCTTCATTTTTCAATGTCATCATTTTTTAATACTGAGTTTGGAAGGAGCCAAGCCAACTTCTTACAGGAGTTATACATATAGTAACAGTATATAGATCAAAGTATGTCATCACTTATAACACTTCTTTCTAAGGTTTTACTAAATTAAAAAGTGTTATTAAGCAGAATATTACGCAGAATCAATTTATTCCTTAGTATATAGATTAGCAAATTTTACAACTATTATTTTTAAAGAAAGGGAAACTATAATTATTATGAAAGTTTTAGCATTTATAGTAAGCTTCTTATGTAACAGTAACGTTACTTGCTTGTTAATGATACAAAAGTTGGAAGATTTTTAGAACTTTTTCATTATTAGAACATATTAAGACCTTACTTCAAAACGTTTTCTTGAAATTTCATTCCCTTTCGAATTTATGATAAGTAATTGCATTAATATAAAGCAATATATTACTCTGATCCTTTCACCTGGAATATATATTATTTTTCAGGAAACATAGTTTTAAGACAATAATAAGATAGCTTGTGTGCATGTTGAAACAAATCAGTTAATTTCTGTTGTAATATTCTGATATAATAACCTTAACGATATACTAGTTATAAGTGATAAATGCCTTGTGCATGTTAAAGAATATTGCATGTACTAAGTACTTTAAAATTCTTTGTTTGTTGTATGCTATACTTCATATCCTACATTGTTTTAAAGTAACATTTACATCAATTTTTTCACGTAATAAGTATTTAATTAAAGACGTTAGCAAACTTGAATTTCTCACATATAAAATTCATAAAAAATTTTCGTTCGCATATTAACAAAAAATAGATTTACATAAATATATATATAAATTATCTAAAAATATTTTCAAATAACGCTAGAAAAAATATGTTGTTTAACATATTTATAATGTTCTCTCCGAATAGAATACTTATCTTACATCAAATTTTTTCGTTTAGTGCAGCATATAAATGATAAAAAGTATAGATATTTATGATTCCCTAGGTCTAAATTAATAGATTTGATATGTAAGGGACTTTTTGTTGTTTAAAATACTCCATATTTTTACAAAAAACAATTACTTCGAAAATATATTGACAATAATATTTTGAAAGAACTATCTTAGTAATTACATGTGAGATAGTTTAGAGATAAATATTATATTGTATGAAATTTGGCTTCAGCTGCATTCCAAAATATGTTTTCTCCATGAAATCTTCCTTTTAATATTTTTTTATCAAATATTATTTTCAATGCAAAAGTTATTTTTTGTTTATCATATTATTTCTTCCAAAATATAAACATCGTTGGCTTGGCATTGTGGACATACATACATGCACGCTTTAGAAATTCATACATGATTTAGTCGGTTTTCATTAGAATGGATATACACCAAATGCTATATTGATCTATGCTACATTGATATTGTTTGGCGACATTTCAAATGGACCTCAATGTACATGATTGTGCGGTCATTCGTCTCCTATTGTCTCAAGCACACATAGGTACAAATTGTGATAATCGATATCTGATTATGCAGTAGGAAAGACAAGTCGTGCTTGAATGACATGTTAATAAAAACTGGGCTCTGCATATTATGTTAATAGTTATAAGATAGAATAGCTATCGCTCTTGGAAGTTATGTTACTTTTTAAATATCTTAAGCAAAATCAGAAAATCGGTTACCCAGAGTTTAATAATGATGATCTAGCCTGCAACATTTCATTAAATTAAATCAAACTTATTAAAATATGCATATTAATTTTACTAGCTATTAAACAGAGTTAGAAATTACACAAATCATTATCATATCAATAATTGTTACAGTTTCAACATTCATGTACGTAGTCTTTATATTTAAATTTACTGAATTGACAATTCAAATATCTTTACTTAAGTGTATGTCTGTGTATAATTTCCTTTAAAGTTCAAATTAATCTTTTATTTTTTATCTTATGTGTTTTATTGTACTATTCAATTTATCATTTTAAACTTTAGTTCTTACGATGTTATTATAAGGTGAAAAAATTTAATTTTTGTTTATACTGATACATGTATATTATTCACTTAACATTATATGAATATTTAACAAGAATTTGAATATATGTCTGCAACTATGAAAATTTAATAAAATCAATAAATATATTTTTGTTACAAATAATTAATGGTAATAAAAAATGATTTCAAATAAAAGCTTGGAATATAATTATGGTGATAAATATGCATTTATGAGAAAATTTAAAATGTTTTACCTAACTCTGTTTTAAAGGTGCAGAATATTTATAAATTTCAGAAATAATAGAAGAATAAAAGATATCTATAAATGAAGATCGTTAAAATTATAATTTGCGGGTAATCCGAATAACCGATTCTGTTCCCAATTATAAATTTCTTACAATTACATACAGTGAAGACTATAATAGGATTTCATTATATTATACATAAATATATACAAACACATCTTCTCTTATATCAACAATAATTCTCATAATTGATCATACTAATATCATATAAATATATGTGTATATATATATATATATATATATATATATGTATATATATGTATATATATATATGTATATATATGTATATGTATATATATATATATATATATATATATATATATATATATATATATATATATATATATATATATATATATATATATATATATATATATATATATATATATATATATATATATATATATATATATATATATATATATATATATATATATATATATATATATATATATATATATATATATATATATATATATATATATATATATATATATATATATATATATATATATATATATATATATATATATATATATATATATATATATATATATATATATATATATATATATATATATATATATATATATATATATATATATATATATATATATATATATATATATATATATATATATATATATATATATATATATATATATATATATATATATATATATATATATATATATATATATATATATATATATATATATATATATATATATATATATATATATATATATATATATGATTCATCTATCAATAATTAGATATAATATTAATTTTTAATATTAGAATACTCTTCAATGTTGAACGCAACAGTTGCACTTTACATACAGAATCACATACCAGTCCATTGCACCTCATGCTGACACAATACTACTGTATATAAATATTATATCTTTTACTAGATAAGAACTATACTTTTACGGGTTTACTCACCATTACTAATCGAAGGAAACTTTATAGAGATTTAAACCAGAATTTCTAACTTATGTTTTGGTTTTAAGATATAATAATTAAGAAGGATAACTTTTTAGTAATAAATTACTACTATTTTTACGAATGATGTAAATTATAATTTTCTACTTTAAAATAAATAGGAGTTTTTCAGTCTGAGTTCTTATTATTAGTGGTTTTATGTGATTCATACAAGTATACAAAATGAGCACTATATATGACGATATTCTATTTATTTGAGTTTCTTATTATAGTTAACATTTACTTTCAAACACTTATTAAACACATAATAAGGAGTGAAATATATATTATATTGTAAATTATGTCACATTAAGAATTCTGTAAAAAATATACGAGGAAAAGAACTATAAATTGATGTTTGTCTCAGAGGTTGTAGTGTACAATCAGAATTCTATCATACTATTGTTTAGAAATATGTCATGTTTTTAGGATACGTTAGAGTTAAAAAGCAAAATGAAAGCAGGAGTTTTATACACATAAAATAAATCAGAAATATTTCGTACATACATAAGTAATCTTAGAACATAAACTGAAAGAATAAATATAATATGTAAATAAAAGTGAATAAATTTTTGTTTCTATATAGATGCATGTCATTTGTTTGATACGTATCTAACACAGTTATATAGAAATATGCTAAAATAATGTACTAAATTATTCAATTGATAAGTGAATATAAAGCTCAAAGAAAGAAGACAAATAGACAAACAAGGTTTCATAAAATGATGAATATATATGAATGTTTGAATCAATAAAAGGAAACAGTGTTAAGAGATCTCATACTATGAGATACACATTTAGCAAATTTTAAAATTGTTAATTTTTAGTTTATAATTCGGCTTAACTATTTTTCATTCTATAAACTTCGTAACAAATAATGAAAATAGCTTCTCCCCATATTTAAAACTATTTCAGAAGAAACGTTTATAGAGGTTAAAATATGTTCGTAAAAAAACGTAAATAAACGTAAACTATTTCAGAAGAAAAGTTTATAGAGGTTAAAATATGTTCGTAAAAAACATAAATAAATTTTGAATAAGAAATGTTTAATCAAAATTACGTTTAAAGTTAATTCTTCTTTCATCTGTATTGTATTATTCTGATTCGATTTTAGATGTAATCATAATATATAATATTCATGTTGTTATATAAATATTGTAAGTAATACCAAATATGTTTTTCAGTTTTTTAAAAATATGATTGACAATGAAAAAGCTGTTATGTGAACCATTATAAGAATATAAACAACACTCACTAAACATAGGTTTGCATTTCTTATTATCAATGAGTTAGAATATCCGCTTTACACTGTGATTGTATCTTCATGTATGTACCAAAATTTTAAAACAGAATTTTAATGGTTTATCCATTATGCCATCTGAGAAAAGATTTTTCTAATCATAGAATTAAACGATATATTGAAATTATAATATTATAAGTTTCTATATAAATATTTGGCACATTATTATTTTACTTGTACTCGTCACCCATTGGGAATTTTTTATCTGCTTTATAATAAGTGCACTTATTTCAATATAAATTTAAATTATATATATAGAATACTTTATCTAAATGTAGTTTTCTGACATGAAATATTACATGTAGACGTTTGTAACTATGAATATGCCAGTATATATCAATAAAAAATATAGTAATATCATAGTATGATTCAGCCCAAATTCTTTTATAATGTTTAGTTACATAATTTTTATTTCTGAAAGAGAAAAGGAATCAAATCAATGATGTTTAATGTTTCTTTCATTTTTGGGAATGGCATTTAGATAAACCATTATACCTTCAATAATTTTTTAGTACATTTTGTATGACACATTTGATTATAAATCTGTACAATATATTTACTGTTATGTTATGTACATACACGTATAACTATGTTAAATACAGATGACTTGGTTATTTGTGTACACTTAAAAAATTATTTTTAAAAGACTAAAGCAAGATAAAATGAATAATGTTACCTGTTTAAAATGGAAATACTACATTTTAATTTAAATCTATAAAGAAAAATTGTATAGTTCTAGACACATATTTCATACAAATGTACAGAAAATTTCTTGTCCACCGAACAGCAGATATTATTTATTTTAACCTTTTTACTTATTACGACAAATAATACGAAAAGCAAACTCTAATGAGGAAAGTATATAATATTCAATTAGAAAGGATTTTCTTATTGATAGTTGGACAGATAATTAAAAATACACATATTGTTACTTTAGGAAGTAGTATCGATAAAAATGTTTAAAACATAAAGAAATCACTGTTTTGATGATGTGATTGGCTACACAGCAAATTTTGTTTATTAGAGTATCAAAAATAAAAAAGTAGTATTGTTAAGTATTCAATAATTTTGCTTTCAATTTCTGAAGTCAATTAATTTTTAACGTGCATTTAACTGCTTTATATTGCAAGGTATGCGTCTATTATACAGAGTGAGACAACAGTATAACTGAAACTGAAAGAATAAGGAATATGTTATGAAAAACAAAAGAGACACAATTGATTTTAGAAATTGCTTGAATACACAAATAATTAATCCTTCTATAGTTTCTGTTTGATATACGTGGGCATGTGCAAAAATCACGAGCTTGAATGTCTGACATTGGTAGAAAAGCAAAAAGAAGAAGCCGGATTTGTACAAAAATTCGTTATATTACCAAACTACATCATCGTGTATCTTCAGTGATCGGAAATCTTTGATTGAAATCTAAATAGAAAATTATGTCGTATAAAACAATTAATAACGAAATAGGATAATAACTAACCCCAATCTATGTCCGATGAATTCCCAAAATAAATCTTTCTGAAAACGATATCTCGAATTAGAAATTTCATAGCATGTTTTTTTATTTATCTTTTCACGTATAATTCCCTCTTTTATCTTTGTACTATAGTATTATCCTGTTTGTACTCTGTATACTTCGACGCATTAAATAAATACACATTAAATAAATCAGAGTTTCATTATAATAGTAATTTTTTTCGATAATTTTTTGTTGTACATTACCACATTGTAGAATTTGTTTTTAATGTAATTAAATTGCTTTTTTTGGCATCTTGGAAGAAGATTGCTGCAATGTTTCATCACAATAATAAACGCTATTAGCTTGGTTAATGAAAATCTCTTGAAAAATTTCCTTCGAAAGGTGATGGTATTTTGTTATTACAGCTATATTTTATCTGTTACAGCAACGAATTCTTTGAAATTTCACCGCAGATTGTCTATAATTCGCTGCATTATTTTGGCACTACATACGTGTCTTCGATTGTTTGTCTATTGTGATTGTGATCTGTCTTGACTACGAGTTCGTCTGTAATTCATATCTGAGTATTCTCTTTCTCTCTACACTTGTGTATGTTCAAGCCCCTATCCCCTTGGGTATTTGTACTAGAATCTGATTTGATATTATGTTCAACGAAGCAATGTAACTCGTTCTTATAATTCGTTCATAGTAAACACTGTGCAAACTTGGCACTTATATAATTGTATATCTTCGTCCGGCTTTGTATCCTCTATGGAAAACGTAGGTTAATCCTGGCTTTCTTCCGCGCTATCCTCGTGCTTCTGTCGATTAAACTAAGAATTCCCAAGGTGGACACCGGACTTTGGATTTTCGTTTGCAATTGGCACATGATACGATCGATACATATTCGCGGTTGTCACTTTCACGCATGCTGTAGAATAGGCTCACCCTCATCGGACGAAGTTTCACCACCGCTGATCACTTGACTTGGAATTGTTTCAGACTCCCATTGACCTATTTTTGTAGGATCTTTTTCACAAAGTCTTTGAGCCAGCATCTGTTAAAACAGAGTAGTGTCAATTTTAGAGATAACTAACTAGCTGTTGCTCGCGACTTTGTTCTCGTAGAACCCGGGCAATTGATATTCTTTTTATTTATTTTTTGATATTATAATGCCTTTACATAAGCTATATTTTTAGTTTTATTAAAACTAAAAAGGTTAATTGTATTAATTCTAGAAACTTTCAAATCTGGGCAAACTGACATATAATTGCTCGTGAGCAAAAGCTTTCTTGCCCTAAATCTATACCCGCATACCTACATTAATATTACAAAAAGTGCAAAAATATTTATTTCGCTTGAGGCAGAGGTGTTTCGGGACAATTGTGACTATCTTTTACGTGTTTTATTTACGAGACGAAGCTAAGGGCCAATTCTGATTCCGTAATGAAATCTGTTAGAAAGCAACTCCTACTTTTAAATATTCGCGGCCGCCAGAGAAGAGAGCGCGCGGTCGAGCAATCGATATAATTCGATCTCAATGGCATGTTCGGTGCGACGCAAAGCGATTTCATAGCATCGCATCCTGTCAACCCACCAAGCAACTGTGCGATTCCAGATTCAATGGCGTTTGTCATAGGACGAAATCGAATAACGGTGCGGTGCAGATCAACCTTAATCCGGCATATTTATTCATTTAGTAATTTACGGACACTAACATTATGTTACAAAAAAAGAAACGAAAGTACAATAACTGATTAAGAGTTAAAGACTGTAACGCTGATCGTCTGAATTTATAGAAAGGAACAGAACAGAGATCTACTCGATCAGTGGAAATACATATTCATATATTTACATAGTTGCATATTCTGGTGACGGAATTTTGCCAAATTTAAGATCACTCGTGAAGAAGTGGACGAGGAAGATCAGAGTATTGCATAAGGAACGTGAACAAGCATCGAAATTAATAAGTTGAACTAACGAAGGACTATGAACGAGGTTATTGATGACTTTACGTAAAAGAAGAATGTTAGCATATTCATCATTATATAGAGTACGGGGTCGTAGTTGTGGCGACGACTGTGAATTGGACAAGTGCGCATGATGCAAAGCGCAGGAATTTGCGCAGTGTCGTATTTATGCTCACTACTCGGTTCCCCGAGGAGTACGCATAATAAAATGTAGCCTGTGTCCATCCGGTGAAAATGTACTTTCCAACGGTTAAAGAATTGTGTAAATCGGTTGAACAGTTTCTGAGATATCTCGAATGCACACAAAGAGACCCTCTCTCTTTATAATATTAATGTAGATAATTATTTCAAGTTATTGCATGTTTAGATGAAATGAAATTAATCAAAGTCTTTTATCGTTTATTTTGTCTATATACTCTAACGCATTCCACATTTTCTTAATATATTTTTTACATTAAACATTTCTCTTTTATTTAAATTCAAATTTGCTATCTATATGTACAATAAGGATAATTTCATAATTATACTATGAGAGTATTTTTTTTTAGCGAAAATGCAAATTTTTTTTGAGCGAAATGCAAATTTTTATAAATTTTTTACTGCATTAAATAAAATATTACGTATAAATATGAAATTTTGGAGAACTTTTTAACGTATCTGAACTTACCTGAAGACTAGAAAGACTATTATCACAGTCGGTAGTATCAATATCATTCAAATTGACACCAGATCTTTCCATCTCAGCGTACGTTCCAAAGGGCAATTTTCCTAAACATTCTAATTTCATAATGTGCATTTTGCTGCGCAAATGCTTCGCCAAGTGACCATGTATTCTGAATGCTATTTTGCAGTCTGTACATTTAAATGGCCTTGGATTGCTGGTGGTCGCTGCTCCGAACGTGGAAGTCATACTAACCTGTAATCAAACAAATTCGAAAATTCAGTTCACGTCTAGAATATCGAAAAATATGCATGCATATCGCATTTAAACACGAGATTTGATGAACTCTAGAATTAGGAAAATTTCATTCTATCTTCTATCCTAACCAAACTCCGATAAATTCAGTTCACTTTGATCGTATACAACTTTTTTGCTTCTATTAGTTTAATCATCTTTAAACATTACCGTAAAATTTCGTTTCTTTCAGTCATATTCCATTGCTATGATAATACAACAATTAACTTTGTTCGATTAAAATATTGGATACATTATGGAAATGTAAATAATGAATAACGAATCATACTATATTACCATTCAGTCGAACGATCGAAGTCAATATAAGGTACGCTCCTGAAGTTAATATCGAATTATAAGGGAATAATTTTTAAATTTGTCTGGAAATTTAACTGAATAAAAAATATATAAATAAAACGCGTTCTTATTTATATCACATGATCACGTCAATTCATTTTAGAAAAACGGGTGCGACATACAGATGAAGTTCTATGCGCACGATATATTTCAATATAAATGTCGATGCCTCAAATTTCTAGTAATAGAATAATGAAAGAGGAGAAAAGTAAAAACAATCATAATCGGCACATCCGTGCCGATTCTAATGTTAGTGGCTGTCAGAAGTTTGTATGGTTTTCCAAGCATGATAATTTTAAGAATAAACATCTAGGAACAATAATTATTTTAATTTAAATGTATTTACTCTGAATGAGGTAAAACTGTGCTTATTTATAATGCAAGTTCAGTCTGAGCACGTAATTTTCCTCTAGCGAAAGTTGTACCGCGTCGAACGCAGTTAGTCGTATATGTTTGTTTCACGACTCACAACTTAACTTGAAATCAAACCAAATTCAGAAAATCTAAAAAGTTTATAACGTAGTCGGAAATAACATCATGACGAAAGATTCGGAACAAAAAATGATTCAAGATATTTACATAAATTAATAATGAAATAAATAGTAAGAATAATAAAGATTATGAATTTATATTTTAATTTCTCTTTAGTATAGTGATTAGTTTAGTATAGTAAATATATACAATTTAGTATAGTAAATAGGAATATAATAATTTATCAGAAAATGGATTAGTATGATTTATTGTTAGGAAAACAACAGTTTTATGTGATCAAAATTATTAATGTTGAATACTTGTAGGATGAAAAGTGAAATGACAATTGCAATCATATTTAAAGAATATTTCATAAACGTATAAAAATAGTTGAAAATTGTTTTTATAAAAGCGTTTCGAATCACGCTAACTTATGATTTGCTATGCGTCGAAAATACGTCATATAATGCGTCTTTGAATACGTTCTAAAAAATGTTATTATATTATAAATAGAAAGATATGCATTTGAAAAAAAACACCTTAAAATTTCCTTCATTATTGCAGAAAAACTCCGTAGGAACCTCTGTAGAAACAATTTTTGTATAGCTTTATCGATTTACTAAATATTTAATCATTCTGATTGTAAGTTAACTCACTTATTGTACGTCGCACGTGCATGTGCACGTATCTTCACAGAGAACAGTAAATAATTCGCCCCTTAACTGCAAGATTTTACTCGTCTTGAATTTAATAAAATAAATTTACTTCGTCACGAGTAGATTTGTAAACGATTTGTAAATCAGTCCAATGTAGTACACTTGTAAGTTCAATTCATTACAACACGAAAAAATATAACGAATAAATAGAAACTTTATATTTATTTCAGGCTACGTTGCTGTTTAAGGAAAGTATTCAACCATTCTGAATATGTATATCTCGAGAGCAGATTGTGTGAGTTTGATGTAACTAAACAACCATCTGAAACGAATATCACTATGTGTATGTGAACAGCCATTCTTAGCGAGGCCACTCAATATTCAATTGATAATGTTACATCGCTGAGTGAGTTTATGTTTTGTGTGTCTGTTACTACATTTACAATGACTAAGCGAGTAAGTTTTACCTTTCAAATGTCAGTTTCAACAAAACAAAAGTTTGCACAAATGATAAAACACTATATCATCTACTTACGTCTGTTAATCCTTCTATGTCGCAGATTTGGCACTGTGTCATTTATAATCAACAGTCGAGAATTGTAAAACTTACTCGCTTAAATGCGAGGATCACAAAAATATGAACTCACTGAATAGCGTAACGTACATTGCCAATTGGATAACTATAGAAGAATTTACATATACACTGGATGATTTGTTTCAAATAGTCGTTAAGTTATATCAGTTTCATTCGGTTTCGAAATATTTAAAACGGCTGGATGTTTTTGAAATAATTCTTGCAACCAAGTATATTATAACGTAATCACTGTATCCGGTGGACGATCTTCTAAATTTTCAACCAATAAATATGTGATATATGTAAATACTTGTGAGGCAGTTTTCAGTCATAAGATTTAGATTTCTTCCATTTATTTTTGTTATTAAAAAATTGCTTATAAAGAAATAATTAAATAAATGACCATCTACAATTTGAATCATTTAACTGCTAATACATTTAACTGCTTCAATGGTAATATTTGTTTGCATCTCCTAGGAAAACCATACCAGCTGTTAACGACGTTCTATAAATTTATCGGTAGATATCCCCGTATAACGCGTTCCTTTTAATGCGGGACGTGCCCCTACGTTATACAGGGATCCACTGTAATTATATTAAGAATTAAAGGCCGAAAATCAAGTAATTAATCAAGTAATTAACTCGATATCATTAGACACTTTATTATCGTAAATGAGATATGTAATATTTAAATATAAAAAGTTGATTACCTTATTGTGGTGAGAAACAGATCTTTCGTGCTTTGTCAAGTGACCCTTGGTTCGAAAAGAAACCGCGCAACTTTCGCATCTAAATGGTCTCTCGAAGTAATGAATGTTGATATGCAACCGTAACTGACTAGGTTTGCTGAACACCTTGTTACAAATTCCACAGACGCTTCTCCCATCTTCAGTCACACTGTAACTACATTCAGTAGACTCAGTTCTTTCAACGAAAACTGCTTTAGCATCGAATGTGACAAAGGATTATCAACAAATCGAACATTTTGTAATTGTACCACTTTCCTATAACCTTGAATTTCTATAAATTGTAGGGAAATGGAGCTAATTCCTTATTTGCATTAGCAATATATATTCTGCGGATAATAACTCTTTTTACAATGTATCGTTACTATTGTATTGAAAATGGATGAAAAACGAGGAATATCTGATAGTATTATTAAACCTTACATATGTATTTTATTTTTCATTTATTTATCGTACTTCGCATGTTATGTACGGGAACTTTATGCGTTTTGTTACTATTGATGTAATGCAAACATATACTATCCAGAAATAGTAGAGGTAAAAAGAATGGCGATATTCCTTATTTTGTGCTCGATAGTTTATGTTTTTAACTTATATGTCAAATCTTTAATGTTATTCTACGTGGATATCTATGCTTTGGAACTCTTTGCGATCTTATTTGACAGGTCTGTCAATCCCTTATCATGGGCAAACGCATCATCATCCTGTATTAATCGTATTTTAAGTAAAAAGAATCATATTAATAACTTTTAATAAAATTTGAGATGTCTTTGTCTTTCAGTATTTATATTGTACAATGATGAGATCGGGTTAATTTCTTAACAATTCCTTATTAGACAAAGAAAGATGATTTGCAGCGTAAGTGTTAATTACTCCTAAATCTGACATCGTTGAGTAATCAATAATCACAATCGTTTATTTCTGACTAAATGACTTAATTTTCCATTTCATTTCAATTAGTCACTACTCGTCTGTATCACGTAAAAATACAAAACAGGAGTTAAGAAATACTTAAGAAGATTAAGTAATTGAAATGATTGTGGGTCATCGAATGATGCCAGTTAAAGTTAAGGAACTCGTGAAGTGTTATTACCACTCAATTAAAACTAACATGTGAAATATCGCTCACCTGACATAATTAGGTGCTGGTCCATTCGAGGGCTGCAAGAACTCAGCTTGTGGTTTAGTGGTTGCAGCGTTAGGCGAGGGCGATCTAAAACCGGGTCCCCCGACAACCATTTTCCGCGCAACCGTATGTTTCATGCTCTCTGCTATTTCTTTTTCTCTGTGAATCGATTCGATATCGAACGACCGTCGATCTATGACAATATTGTTCTGATAAATTTTCTCTCTGATTTCCATCTTGATATCTTCAGTGGTATGCTTCGATACGTGCTTAATCCTGGAATCTATCATAGTCATTTGTATCTTGCTAGGATCGTTATAACTCGTTACTGGACTAGTCTCTAATTCAGCGTTTCTTGATTTCGGAGATGATTGTTCCGGGTAAATGTCCCTCTCTCTCGGTTGCTTTTCCATCTTCGTATTTCCTACTCGGTATTGTTGTTTAATTTTACTATCCATAACGTGTCGTTCAGTGAGATATGCTTGCAACATATGCCCCTCGGCATCCGGTTTCCACTCTCTTCCTTGTATCGGTAGTCTTTCCATCGTTTGAACGATCGTTTGTAACAGTACCGGTTCCGAAACGGGAGTTAAAATATCTGCTGGCTTGGCTCTTTGCGGTATGGAAGAGGGCAACGGCTGTAGGGCTGGTTTCGTCGTGAGATCCATAGGCTGTGCCAAAGTATTTCGCGAGTCGGTATCGACTCCGTTCACCTCGATGTCGGAACTTTCTTTTTTCGATGATTGAATCACGGTCGTCCTCGATTCTTCCGGAGCGGTCCGGCTCGAGGGGAAATAGTATCGATGGGACAATTCGTTTCGAACGAGAGTAGTTTCTTGCGTGGTGACAGTTTGACTGCTCAAGCAGACGTTGTTGCTTATCGCGGTAGATGATACGTTCGCGGACCTGGAGGTCGTTGGGAAAGTTAGAGTGTAAGGGTAAGTTGTCGGTCTTCCAGACGGTAGAAGCCCTGGAAATCTGTTTGTATTACGTTGCGATAGACTTAGCAAACTCTGTGCAGCTTCTTGCTCCTCGCTTCCGGATTCTTCACTCTCCTCTCCATCGCTTTCTTCCTCCTCTTCCGAGGATTCCTCGGTATTTCCACCTGCAGCCAACCGGGCGATAGCTTCTTTATCGATATTTTCATCACAGACCGTCGTAGGTACCGGAACAACGCCGAGCTCGACGCACTTCTTGTAATGAGCTTTCGATTTCATATGTTTCGTCAGGTTGCCTTTGGTTTTAAAGCTGCGCGTGAAAGAAGAAGAAATATTTGTAAATATTTATAACGTATAATTGTATAAGTTATAATATACAGAATGATACACGTAACTAAGGTCATTACTACTAATAATATTGCAAATAATAATCTGAGCGTGTTGCTTCGTCAGGAAGTATACGATACATTATCCGATTTTTCCTATCACTTGCATTTATTAAAATTCCCATGTCATCCTCAACCTTTCTTAAATGAAATTCAAATTCTTCTTTATAACGAAAATTATGAATAACATTAAAAAAAGAATAATAATATGTATTAAAATGGCTATTAAACGACTGTCAAACGCGCTAAAGTTTAAGTGAGCTCTTGACTCGTACATGTAAATGTATCTTTCATTATAAATAAGAATTTAACTTCTATCTGAAAAGTCGAAGATGACTAAAATGTCGAAAAATAAAAGTGATAGAAGAAAATCGAATAGTTCGCTATTAATCCATCCGATAAGCATTCATCCGAAAAAATTTTCGATAAAGTCATTGTTTTCAAAGTTATCCTAGTGGTCCTAATTAAGTGTCTCGCTTTAAATAATATTTGGAACAATTCTAGTATAAATATCGATTTGTTAAAAATAGCATTTCGAGCATATAAAATAACACTTCGTTTGAAACTGCGATTTTGCTACGAAACTTCAAATTAAAATTCCCTGAAATAACAATGTTATACCGTTCCAAGTCAGCCATATATATTCGTATACACGTATGAACCGTAGTTAGTAGTTACGAGTGTTTTTCGCAGAATATCATTTCATGAAATAGTGTCATAGTTAGTTCATGAATACTAGAAATACGTATTTTAAAAAAGATAATTAAGAATTGCGAGAGCAACCTGCGATTCTTTACAAAAAATAAATATTTAAAAAAAGAAAAAGTGGATTAAATCTAATATCTCTGCGTTATTATTAAACGTTAGGCATAAGTATGCTGTCTTAAAAGATAAAAAGTTTACTTTAAAATCGTTTACTTTCATCGGAAAGCATGTCGAAAATAGTTGTAGTTCATGATTTTAAGACCTCAGTTCGTTTGACATTGTGCAATAACAGTTTTGATAAAACTTTCGCATCGTAATCCTCATTATCGTTTCTAATATATACCATACACACATGCAGAAATATTAGAATTAATAAAGCAGATCAAAATAGAAGGGACCGTTACTTGTTGCATGCCACATAATTAAATACTGCATATTTAAAAAATAGAGCTATATTTTATTCTAAGAAATCGCAATCCTTTCAAACATTTTTAGTTCTTTTTCTATTATTTTGTATTTAAACATAGAAATTAGTAAATGAAAAACATATTTCACAAAATATTTGGAATTTTTGAACATGTTTATATTGCCACCAGGTACTGCCAATCAGATATTCATCAGTAATGCGAAGATTAAATATGAATAAAATGTGTATGCATTTCTAATAGATTTCCAATAAAATTTTTCAAATAATTAGTTCTCTTTGGCAATAAATTGTAATTCCTATGTCAATGTAATAATTTTAGTAAAAGCCTGTATGTAGTTTATGTTATTTTTTTCAAATTTTTCAACGACGTTAACATGATTATCTGTTCAAGTTTTATAATGCATATCAGAAATAATCAAATAACTTAATGCATACAACATAACTTATATGTAGATAAATATATGTAACAGATATAAAAAAGATAATGAAAAATAATGGAAAGATATAATATGCTATTAATAAATATTACTATTATTCTTCCTCGTCCCATTTCTTGTGTGTATGTGTTGTTACCCTTTATGTATAATGTTTGTGTTATACGGTATCATGATGTAAATTAAGCAGGTTTCCTTTCCTCCTTTCTTGATGAATATTAACGTCTGAATATGTATATCGTTTGTTACATGTATTTATTTTATCCGCATGTATAGAGCGATTCATAAAAGTATGTCTATACTTTCGGGAGTGAATCTACACTAAAATAATATGTATAGCTCCTACGTGCCTTAGTTTTCGAGCTAGAGATGATCGAAGAAAATATTCAAAATCCACCTCGCGCCTCGACACATGTTTCGGAATCAAACATATTCTAATCAAACATGTTCGTATTATGATATGATAATTTATTATCTCTTTTCTATTGAATCCTGCTTGGTCAACAAACAACATGAAACATGGCAAAGCAGGATTTTCAGAATATTGTCTTGCGAACAATTCGCAAAATGATTCTTCGCAAAATGAAGACATATTCTGCTGTATATAGTCCAATGTCAAGCCGTGCAGAAACGTGTACCGCGGCAGTTTTTTTAATTTACTGTAACTCGAAAACTGTGATACATAAGACAAACATACAAGATGTTCTAAACTTAAACAGATGTGTTAAACAGATGCTAAACTGCGGGGGCATAATCTATAGGCAAAAAGACGAAAGAAATGTTATATAAAGTTTGTCAATAAACGATTTGTTTCAGAATTATAAAGAAATGCATGAAATAAGTAATGACGCACGCAGTTTATTGAAACTGATGAAAATGTTCATTGATGAGCTTGTATCCGAAGAGAAGGACAACATTTTGAAATGAGAAAATAAAAGTACACGACAATCGTTTTTGTCATATTGCATATGATATTTTCCAACTATCAACGACACAGAATTGTTAACACGTGATACAGTCAATTTCTGTGTGGTGCGATGCGTCGTTATCTATTGCAATTTTTGTTTATAACTGTGTAACAAAGTACTTATTGACAAACTTGTGTCCAACATTTCCTTCTTTCTTTCGCCTGTAAATTAAGTCCTTACTGTTTGACCATTTAAGTTTGGGGCAGCCTACAGGTATAAACATACATTTATATGAAAGTTTTTTATTTATTTTAATGTGTAGATTCATTCCCTGAAGTATAGACACGCATTTATGAATCATGTATATTCTTGGATGTGGATGAGCACTTGCAAGGAAGGTACGAACGTTTACGCTGTATAATTGATATTGTCGTGCAAATACTTGGTGTACAGCCTTTACTATAGTATTGTTTCTGTCTGTATAATCTTTTTCGGCGAGTAATCTGCAGCTATCTATGTTCTATTGTTTTTCTGCAGTGGTAACATTTTTTGCGTGCGTTATATCAATGGTCTCTTTTATTACGTATTGTATTTTCTGTGGTTTCTCGTATTTTCATGCATTGTCATGACTGTCATGACAGTATTTCTTTTGTTTCTACGAAGAATTGTCTTAAACCATTTTATGAGCCACTTATATAGAAGTACAGTGGAATCAGTACAACGTGTTCCCCTCTATAACTTGGATTCGTCTAACGTCACACTCATAGTTCATATACAGGGTGTGCCACATTTTAATGTACAATATTTAATTGTTTTGTAAGGAAAGTTCGGTGTGCTCTGTAACTAAAAACAAGACTAAAATGTCGTGTAGCATAAAGATCGCATATGCTTCATTACAACTTCATTATAAGAAACTTACAACGAAAGTGTAAAATGCGACGAGTGTACGTTAACATTCTTTTTCTCGGTTTAACAGAGGATAAGGCAATATATATGTATAATATTCATGGTAAGTGTTGATATATGGCATACATGACATACATGAGACCGTATTTTGTACATGTATTTTGGTTTAGGTATGTTTATTGTTTATTGTATGGTTTTACTATACGACAAAAAAGCACGCTATTTCATTTTAGTTTCGTCCAGGCTTGTGAAATAAGAGTTGAGGGTTCCCAAAGCTGCACATGCAGAAGTTAAACAAAACAAGTCAATATCAACTTCGCATTAATAAAGGCGATCGATATTTTGAAATATCTCGAAAGGGCTTGATCCTATCAAAAAAATGTTTGAACAAAAGTTGTTGGTTTGTTTCAAAGGAAGCATTATTATTGCCAATTATTTTTCTGTAGATCGATCAATAGGTCTTTTTCGGGGTCAACTCCATTTTTGTAAATCGAACCATGTACTTTTTGATACATTAATCGAACCATCTCCGCATTCCCTGTAAAAGGTATTAGACTTATCTATGCTGAAAAATCACTAATTTAGCAAATAACTTGAATTTGTCAAATTTATCATACGAAATGCAAAGACAAGGTAAACGCAAGAATACAGTTTCGTGTCTTTCCTTGGTTCCAAACATCCTCTATATTATATAGCTTTACGTGCCATATTTTTGTCAAAACTTCTTAAGGAAACATTTATGAACTTTTTACTACGTGACATTTTAGTCATGTTTTTAGCTATACAACACATTGGCAAAATTTATACACTAAACTACGGGTACCCTGTATAATGCATACATATGTACATGTGGTTGGTATAAATAACGCATGTTATCGTGTACAGCGCATATAACGCTGTTTCCTATAACGCGGAACGTATCCTCCGCGTTAAACGGTGGTCCACCGTACTTGTCTATATTTGGATCTTATATAATATCGTGGCGTTCGCCGTTTAGGTACTGCCTTTTTATTCTTTTATCTTTCTCGTGCCTTATCACGAGCATGCGTTTCTGTGTATATGTTCTTGTACACTTCTTTTTCTTTTACACTGAACAATATATTTGTATCAAATCAGTCCGATTAAACAAGTTTCTGTTGTGCGTGCTATTGTGAAAGTAGTTTTATATCTATTCAGGTAGCTGTGTAACTTTACCATTCTTTCGTAGCCATACCTTTTCTCAATAGTGTTTGGCATCCACTGCACGATAGTAATATTTGTCTTTTCTCTTTTTTTTCTATTACATTTTGGTAGAATTGTCTATAATTTCTATTGAATTATACGTTTTGTATTTCTTTTCCATTTTATCTTTTATACTTTATTATTATTATTATTGTTGTTGTTATTATTATTATTATATATGAAATAAAGAAACGTTTGAATTTTGCAATGTATTCAAATAAACAAATATAGATATTGAAGGAAATAAAAGAGAGAAGATTCGTTAAAAACGACTTACCTAAAAGCGCAATGTTTACACGTGTACGGCCTTACGTCCGTGTGCGTTCTGATATGTTTCTTTAACATGGATGGCTTTTTACAACGAATGCCGCATTCCTCGCAAACGTATCGGCCTCGACCTTACATAATAAAGAAATAAGTTGAAACCGTTAACCAGCACATAATATGCTATTTACGAAAAAGATATATGTCTCAACAGACGCACACATAAATGCAAATATTAGTTGTGTTGTCGTATACCTATACCTTTAACGTGACAATATATATGAGAATACATATATTGGGGCGGAAATCATAGTACAAGCGGATAATTTCACGCAAAGAAATAAGGCGAAAATTTGATATAACATTTTTATCAGAGACTTTGACTTCGAGAGAAACTCGAGTTTGAACTACGTGTGAGAATATATCAAAAACGAAGAACAACATTTTTCATAAGGTGTTTCGTTCTTTTTTTTCTTCGAGGAAAACAAATTTAAAAATCGTGCGCGTTTCAGATTAGTTCGTAATTAACTTTTACATGAGCAAATATTATATTACATTTTTTACTTATTTTCGCATCTACAATAATTTCGTATTGAATGTTTATTCATACGAAATCTGTACTTGTTAGTTAGCCACGTTAAAGTATATTTGACAAATTCCCAAATTTGATTTTATCAGAAACGGTGCGTCACGTGACAAAATTTTATTTCATATTTTCGACTCATTTTTTCACGTAGAATTACCCCGTGTCCGATTGTACTATGATTTCTCACTCATCCTGTACAATGCGTGATAATACTTCGCTTTTTTTTGTCTCAGTGCTATACGGAAATTTAGCAAACAATAAAAATAGTATTAAAGTAACAATTTTTGTATAGTTTTACACTCGCTAGCAATTTCACCCTTCGCCCTTTCTTCTAATACTTCAACCTCTTAAATTTTGTACTCTTTCTTCTATTACTCGTTAGAGACATATTACGTATAGTGACTACAGAAAGTATTTGTACACCATTGAATTTATACATTAATTGCATATTATATTACACAGTAATTAACCAGATCCGACTATAATACATTTCACATCATTTGGTAGTATCTTCGTATGATTATAAAAGCTTGACAGTATGTAAATGGAATGTAAAATGTAATAAAAAGACGCTCCATTGGAAAATAAGGTACGTACAAATACTTTTCGTACCCTCTGTCTGTAGATATAAACATATCTGACTGGCTTACTAATTGACTTATTGCATACTGAAAAGAAATTCGCATATTCGTTTTTTGGTACGTTCCAATTTCTCTGAATATCAAACGTAAACAGATAAGTGAAGATGTTGAAAATACAAAGAGAGACAGGTGTTGGATTGCGCATAAAGTCAGTACTGGAGTCGAAAGCAAGGCAGCGTGTGTAAAAACATGTTACATCTTTACCTCTGCCCCTGACATATGTATAGTCCTCGTTGCTTTCAAATCCTCCGTCGAATATCTTAACTCTTTTCGCTTTTTCTTGCATATCGCTATCCAAACCGCTATCGGAACTAGTTGGGGTGGTCGGTCTTTCCGAGGAATGCGTCAAAATGTCCTCCTGTTTTTTCCAGGCGGTCGTATAATTAAGCGGTCTGTGCCTCGAATCGTAATGCGCCATATCAACGTCAGATGGTACTTCTTTGCATATCTTCCAATTCGAGTACATAGATAAGCCATGTTGCTGTGTCACATACATTGGCTGTGGTCTATTCAGAGTGCAGTAAAATACTCTGGTCGAACATTTCAGGCCAAGATATGTATACGCGTGACCGTTCAAATAAAGCTGCCCGTAGGATTTCTTCGGCCGAGGGGTTTCTGGGCTTATGAGCGGAAGCGTGTTTGCCGTAGGAGTGATACCATGATGCTTCTTAGGCGTGAACGTGCCTGGCTTTAGTGGCAACGAAGTCGGCCTCAAGAACTTGAGGCGAAGTCTCGTCGAGGTCTCGGTAACGCTAGGAACTTTTGGGCTCGTTAATCCGATCTTCAAAACATCGTTGCCAGGAGTTTTGAAGCCGAGCTTGGGGTCCTTTGCCGGGCTGGCGAGATCCAATGGCTGGCCTATCATCGAGACGTGTCCATTGGACATCGGCTCTGGAATTCCAGCTATTGGCGTTTGTATCTTGGTGGCGTTGGTATTTGTACTTGGCGTTTGTATTTTCACCGGACTGGCGAGATCTAAGGGTTGAGGGACTATGTGGAGGCCAGGCAATCCTGGTATCACCTTGTATCCGGCTTCATCGGTGGCTAAACTCGTGGATATGTCTATGGCTGGCGTCAGGGTGTGTGGTCCAGGCATGCCAGGAACATAAGGTATAACTTTACCACCGTGAAGGATATTCGTGATTCCCGGTTGAGGCAAAGTCAGCGGGTTATAGGCAGTGATACTGGTCAGAGGATTTAAGTTCGGCTCTAGATAACTGTAGCACGACATGTTGGGTGCTATATTCGAGGTTGATATGTTCGGTATGATCGGCGCCAACATTTTCGGAGTGTTGGGCAAAGATATGGAGGAACTAGGCGTGCTGGCCGCCGTACGCGGTGGTTTGTGTACCATCGTGCCTCCCGAGTGCAGACCCGATCTAACCACGATCGAAGCGGTCTCCGAAGTAACGCACTTGCTGCTCACGATCTGCTCGCTCGTAGGAGAGTTGGTTTGTCGCGGCTCGATTCTCATCGTCTTCGTTTCACCGGTATTGTCCAATATCCTGACCTCCCCGCCGAACATTTGCAACGAGTTTGGTCGTGGATACTTGCTTAGCTCCTCGAGAGATCGTAACGTGGTTGGTACGGGGTCCGATCTCTGTTTCTTCATGGGTGGGGCGTACGCGTCGACGAGCCTCGTATTGCCCAACAGAGGCCCGGGAGAGGGAAGGGGTTGCAAGGTGCTGTAATATTCGGAAGACTTGCAATCAAAATCCGACTCTCTTTTCTCCATTTCCAACTGATAATCTCTTCGAGGACTCACGCTGCCTTTGCAGTAGTACTTACGATGAACGTCGAGATTATCGATACTTGTGTAAGGGATATTGCAGGAAGGGCAAAAATAGCTCTCGTATTCCGTCGTTGCCTCTTGATTCGAGTTTTGATTTTTCAATAGGAGATCCTTGATTATCGAACTTTCCGGACCGTTCGGATAATCTTTACTTTCTTGCACAAAGCTCTCACTGTAACATCGTTTTCTCGAAGATTCCTCCGCGGATGAGAGATTCAACGGCTGATCGGTAGATTGTTTCGTTTCCACGAGGCTTTGCTGTCTTTGAATCAGTTTGTGCAGTCGCGGATCTACCGCATCGACGATCGCTTGGTTGTCGGTAATAATTTTATCAATATGTTCCTGTACTTGCTCTGGGTTTGGTTTCGGCGTGGTTGTAGCGGCTGTCGAGGAAGAACTGTTCGTGGAAGAAATGGAGGAAAGGGAAGACGTTTCGATATCGTTGTTGACACACTGGAGGGCCGTGTGAAATTTTGGCTTGTAGATTTTCCCCGTTTTAATCGTTTTTACACTAACTGAAGTCGTCGTGGGCGTCGATGACGGAGGGGGTGGTGGTGTGCCGGTTCCGTTGCTCGCACTGTCGGACAAGCTTATGTCCGAGTCCTCCGATACCTGTGAAATGATCGAATGTCTTTACGTCACATATTTTCTCACTCAAATCTTACTTCTAAGTTAAAAAACGCGTGTTAAAGCTGCATCCGCGATCTTAAATACGCGCCGATTATCAAGCTTTTCCGAACTTTGTAAGAAAATATAATTAATCGTTCCTTTAGCTTTTAAATGAAACGGCACGTTACATATTTTGATGACTTTGTATCGGATTAAGCCTTACAATCCTAATAGCTCGCGTCGTACTATAACGTATATTCTATCTATCGCGATTCGAAAATCCTGTATGCGAGGAAATGAGAAGGTGAAATAGGAAACATACTTTGCTGGCATCACCACCCTCCATCTTAAGGGCGTGGGCACGGGATCTGCAGTGCTTGTAGAGATTCGACTTGGTCTTGAACGCGAATCCGCAAGGAACGCAAGGATACGGCCTCTCGTTGGTGTGAGCTCGGATGTGTTTTTGCAGGACGCTCGGTTTCGCGCACGACAGCCTGCAATAAGGACACACGTAGCCGTTTTTCCTTGATTCGGTCGGTTCTCCGTCCGCGGGTTCCGCAGAGATCTCGATCTTGATCGGATCTTTCGGTGACTCTCTGGAGTCCTTGGCCGCCTCCTTCCTTTTAGTTGTCTCTGGAGAACCGTTGCTGACCACGGCGTCCTCCTTGGGCTCCACTTGCGGCGTAACCTCGGTCGTCGCCATCTTCTTGAACTTCTTGTGCAAGTATTTCGGCTCGCCATCGTTATTGTTATTGTTGTTGTTGTTGTTGTTGTTATTGGTGTTGTTATTGTTGTTGTTGTTTGCTAACTGTGGGTCTGTCATCGCCACAGTGTGAGTCTCTGCAGAGAGGAAAATGAAAATTCGGTAAGAAAATTGATTTGGTGTTTCGCTCGAAACATGTTATCAATTACGAATAAAGTTTGCCTTCTCTCATCAAAGTATTCATTTCGAATGTTTTGAGCACATGTACATAAAATAATAGCCATTAAAATTAGAAATGACGGAGAAATATGAGATATTGTTAAAAACCTAACCAAACCGCGCGAGGCACGCAAAGAAGATGGGAAGAAAGATATATTGTTTGTTTGGGTCCGATACTCCATCGTGATTCAGCTAGATTATTCCGAGAATCGTCTTACGAGGAACATTACAATGAATCACGTGTTATGAGTAGAGTAATAGTTTATGATCGCGAAGAGCAGGAGATTCCGGGAAACATGTAAGAAAAGATTTACTAAGATATTCTAGAAACAACAGTGAATTGTCCAATGCTGTGCATACAGTTACTCAACATGGATAAATTTTTTATTTTTTCCCTTGTCGTCCTCTATGCGTGATTGAATAATATTTACACGCGGAATTTTATGTTTCATTATTTGGTAAAAAGTAAAATTATCTCGGCAAGGACAGCTTGAGAAAATTATTTTCAAATAATCCTTTATTTCAGCTAACGCTTTCAAGCAAGATTATAAATACTTTGTAGCATTAAATACTGTATTTCTACATATATTTCTTACTTTGATTAACAGCTGTTTTAATAGGTAAGATTCAGAAAAAGCCAACGTATATTTTATTTATAACGAAAATAAAATCTAACGATTAATTCAAAGATAAGTCAAGTAATCAAGTAGAACCGCTTCGACGGTGGATTCTGCACATGAAAACAACAAAAAACTGTTTGCATTAACATATGTCCAATAGCAATTTGACCTTGTTTTCGATGTATAGCGAGTTTCTTCTGTAACAAATTGTATCTGCGCATCCTTACGTTTCAATAATCTGACATTTACAACTAGTACACCAATGATTTGTACAACGTCAAATAGAGTATATGTTTATATGGACTTTTCTTATTATTCCCACGTACAGAATTCGGCGTTTAAGCGGTTCCTCGATGCTACGGGACACTCTGCATAAGCAAGCACGCGGTGAAATAATCGAATGAATATTCTTATCATGCTTCCAGTGCATGACGTTACACTCTTGTTTGTTTCGTCGTTGTATCTGCGACATATTTTAATGAGTATGTTACTGAGAAATAGTAAATTATGTCCACGCTTCACGTTTCACAACTTCCTATGTGATTTTCAGACTTCACTTCACTTAAATAACGTACTTGAAAATTCTATAACATCATTTTACTTGGCTTGCTCGTAATTAGTTTAACATAATTACATATATATTAGTCCATTTGAACAAAAAAATGTTTTTCTCGGAATTACTTCATTGAAATGAAACAATTTTTTATTTATGCAACCATTTCCCGAAGTAAATAATACTTTTCTATTACGTCAATTGCTTCGGAAATATGAATATACAGAGTCACGTATTTCATGATAAATTTCAGTAGGAGCAGTTGCGTGAACAAATTCGTTACCTTTTACGTTAACATATAACATATTTTACATATAATATATAATATATAATTATGCTTTATTGTTTATGACTCAGACATGTGAAAAGTGTCAAAAGATTGAAATTAATAGTAAAACTCGCTAAAAGAACAGAATTACTTGATTTATTTTATGTGGTCATGAAATAGTTACTTTTCACGTAAAATTATTTTTAAAGTAGACGTAGAAGGTCAGTGGAAATCCGAATCGTCTATTACAAGTTGTGACGTTTTATTTTCGTAATGTTCTAAATATTGTCAATTACTATCGAAATGTTGTCCGAAGTGCCGTTTTAAATGGTTCGTGCAAAAGCTGCACACGAACACGTTTGACGTGTAATTATCAGGTCGCTTAATATTCAAGGCCTGAAAGGTCATTCTTGTGGAGTTATACGGCAGTTACGTTACGAAAGCGGAAGAAGCCGAGTTCAATAGTTCAGAGCGTCGTTTATGCGCGAACAAGACTTTCCTTCGATTGGATTTCCATCTATAATGAAATTCGTTGAATGACGTTTCTGTTCGCCAGTAAAAGACGATCAAAAATTATTCATAGCGAGCAGAAGCCGTTCAAATTTTGTAATCGCCGTTATCCCAATTTGTTCAGCGCTGTAAATATTTTCGACGTTATCGATCGTTTAATATCTACGTCTAATATCCCTACTAAAGGCACAAATTCTTTACTTCTTAATGTAATTAGTAATTACGCAGAAATAGATTACGCGCGTGAGTTAATCAAGCGGTCGTTAATTACTTTGTTTGTGCCAATACACTACAACATTCTACTGCTGCACAATTTACAAATTACTGCTATACCCATTTAACTGATTTAATTTCTTCTATTAAGGTCGTCGATAGTTTGCATATCCCTTCGTTCGATGAATTATTACCGCTTGACGTTCTTCGCTGTTCCTAACTATAGCGTTTTCAAATTACGTGGCGTAACATTGAATAGTAAAGTGTCATTCTCGGAATAAACGCAGTTGTTTTCCTCCGGTAATAGTCGATGTTCGATCATTTTGCAATCTGTGAAAGTATTGCTTCATCTAATGTCTTGTCAATATTTCCAACAGTTTCCGTCTGATAAGACGATTTTTCGTGCTAAAATGCATTCGTAAACCATTTTTTACCTTACGTTACAAGGAAAATGATTAGCATACATATTTTATTCGCTATCGGAAAAATGAATTGATATTGAAGCGGAAAATTCGATCCATAATGTAAAGTGTGAATCGATAGCAACGTAGAAGAATACAAAGAATACCCAAGTTTGTCAACACATTTTTATAATAATTTTTCTAATAAGGCCAGTAAATATCAGTCTGTTGCCCTACTTTCATGCATTTTTCTTGCATGTCAACAATTTTCTAGATCAACATTTACAATCCCAAATCATTTCTCCTTTTACGATTTTTATTCCGACGTGCAATTGTATATCTCACTTCCTAACTCCTAATCTTCTGCCCTTTTAACTATATATTCGATTATAGCTCGGATATGATAAAATTCAGAATCGAAAAATTAAGCGTATCATGTATATGTATGTGTACATCAAGAATAGAAATCAATATGCAGTGAGCAAAACTCGCGTTACAAGTACTTGTGTTTTAGTGCCTCAGATTTCATAGACATGTATTTAACACTAATCACATTTTGTTTCGGAGATACGAGCAAATGAAAAGTGTGAGACGTTTAACAATTCTAGTTCTTGTACATTCGAGTTGTACAAAAGGCAAAGGTACAAAATAACAGAAATCTAAACCGAATATTCGAGTGAAACGCGTTTCTACCTACAAAAAGATTGAAAAATCATAGTTTGACACAAATACACAGTAAACTTTGTTCAAACAACGGTATAGGAACGTGGGAGAAAAAATTGTTCCGCCAACTTCTATTATCCTTTGATATTGTTTGAAATATCAATAGCTACAGCTAGAAAATGCCGCGGATTCATAAATGCCTCGGGTTTTTTCATTCCATTAGAAAATCTATCAATACATTTTGAATCTATGATTTCGTACTTTTTTGTGAAAAAGTGTGAAAGCGCTGTTGTAATCTGACAGACCACAAAATAACTAATTTTTTTTTTTTTTTAATTAAAAAAAGAAAGATTACTTTTCTCTTTGTGCAAGATTTCACTATTTGTGCCCAATTTTATACAGTATGCAACTAATTCGTGTATATATTTTTAACAGATATTTTACAAATTGAGTCATTAATTTAACGAAAAGTGAATTGCCCTTAAAAATTATGGATATTATCAAATAAAGAAATCAAAGGGATTTGCATTTGCAAATCGGTAATGAGAATCGGAGGAAAATTGCTAAATTAGCAAATATTGCCGCCATTGATATAATGCAATGGAATTCAAAGTTCATTATCAATATTCCATTCTATTGCAACTACACCTCATTGGTACTGTCTATAGCCATTTATCGTATGCTATGAAAAATAAATGAAATTTTAGAAAGCGATGCCAATTTTACAACGATATAGTTCATATCAATTAAAAATTAAACAAGATTGACAGGTTTCTGCGTCGCTGATAATAATGCTGTTGGTGAATTTATGCAACTGTATTATGAAATAAATATCTTGGGAAGACAGAAGTCTTAGGACAAATGTATCTTAAATTTCATCTTTTTCGTCTTTATATCTATAATTCGCCATTTCATCCATAAAAACTTGACCACTATTAATGTTTAATTTAAAAAGTAACATATCCGGGATAACTTTTTTAGGAATAACGAAAAGCAATTTGGCAGTTCAGGATGAAAATTTTTACTAATATATAGCGTTGAGAAACACTATAAATTTTAGGAAACAACGGTCAAATATTATTTCTGCAATTTTCCATTCTTAGCCCTTGAAACCGCTCTTTGATGATTTTGGTACCTTTTCAAAGCAGAGCTGACTTATTTCGGCTTTTGACACTTTTGATATACATGAGCGAAATCTAATTATCCTTTATAAAATACGCACAGATACTGCGATTAATATTCGGACACCCTTTAAAACAATAATTTTTGTAAAATTGAACCAAACGACTTGAGCTTTTTTTAGAAGTTGGGATTAGTTTGTCAGATGACGTATAGCAAAATCTAGTTAAATTGTAATTAGCCGGAACCGCGAAGAAAAAACGGTAATATAATTTAATAAAATTTAATTAAAAAGAATAAGATAATTTCTTACAATTTTTTATCTGGGCCTGTAACGTAAATTTAAACGATACATTTTGAAGATTTATGTTGTTGAAAATGGTAAAAATCGCAGTTTCTCACGACTCTCGGCCTAAAATCTTACGTCTTTCGATCATATATAACTAACGTCAATCTTCGAAATGTGTTATTTAAATTTTCATTACAGACCAAGATACGAAGAAGAGTGGAAAAGGCGATTTTTGCATTTTTCTTCGTGATTCCGACCAATTGCAATTTTTGCAACACTTTT